TAATAGATTGTGCAAGGATTTAGAACTCGATCCATTTACCACAAGCAGTTCCGGGGTGTATAGGCGACAAAACCTTAAATTTTTTGAATGAATATCATGTTTTATACTTTTAAGTGCATTGCATTCGCAAAACCTCTGTAATGATATACTGTGGCTAGCCGTGGAGACCTATAATTAGCTTTGTAATATAGTTGTTGGATACCCGAATTAAAATAAATAAATAAATAATAGCATCAAAAATAACAAGACCGCCATCTTAGAAGATCTCCCATGTTGAATTTTGGTTAGCATCGAAGTATGCATTGTCATTGAAACTAAATGAGTATAATACAATTTAAGTCAAATCGGTTGAAGATATCGTCTTAGAAACCGATTTTCTAGATTCCATACCACACACACAAAAGCTTGTAAAATTATTTACCTTGCTCCATGACTGCAGCGAGAGTATCTGTGAAGTATTTGAACAGCCTGTTCTGTAGATCTACCGGCATGCCCAGTATCCTATTCAGGAACTTGGACATGTTATTGTAATCCTGGAAAAAATGAATATATATTATTGTCAGTGACATACAAATAGAGTTATTACTGTTGTTTTATTGATATTTCTTCATCGTGATAGTCGTCTTCATCAGCTGGAAAACGTCCATTGCGATTCACTCATAGTCCCAAGCTGCCTGTCAAGTATGGCTCTTATGGCACAAACGCCCCCCTTCCTCCTTTATATTTAGTAACTAGGATTAATTTCACACATTTGTAAAAAGTTAATGACTAAATTGTACAAACAGAAAATTATAGAGAGTGGCAAAGTATTAAGTGATGTATAGTAGAAAGACGTACCTTATCAAGTTGCAGTACCCCGGGCGCGGCCTCGCTGTTGACGATGAGTCCGACGCCGACGAGTGCGGCGGCGGCGTCCTGGAAGAAGTCCGCCGCGTAGTCCGCCGGCGGCGCCACCAGGGGGCGCTCGTACTTCATTATGGCGCGCATTACTGCCTCCAGCGCCGCGCGACCTACGGACATACAAGTATGGTTAATATTATGTTATACATCTAAAATAGCGATAAGAAGGTGAAATAATATTTAAGAAAAAAAAGAATGTATAAAGTTGCAACACTTCGTATGGAGCAGTAAATTGGTTAATATTTCGATTCAATTCATTTTGGATTGAATTAGACTTTAACTTTGATGTTAAACAAAGCGCGACTATAATCTTTTAGAGCAAATCTTGTCATTTTTTTTAAATGATTTCGCCAATTTAATCTGAATGTAACTTAACTCACCATATTTATTATCAATATTGAACTGGCTGAGATCCCTAGTCTCAGTTGCTCTGCGGTCCCCGTGAGTGAGAGCCCCGAGAGACTCGAGTCTCTTGGCGACAGTGGACGCGAACCGGCGCTCTCCGGCCAGGTCTGAGATCAGGAATATGTACTCCGGCGCGTTCACCTGGTTCGATCGGTGGGTACGACCTGTGGGGGAAAAAGTAAAGTTAGAATATTATGTTGGCTAATTTATATTATTTGTTTGTAATTCATAATGTTTTAAGTAGCCGTGTAAGACATGTGTTTTCTCTGTGTGTAATGCATTTGCTGATTTCGTTTTAGAATGTGATGTATCATGTAGGATGGTGATGGAATATAAAGAAAATATATGTAATAATTAAAAATAGTACTCACCAAACTGTTGTATAGCCCGGTCGGCTGACCACGGCAGCTCTAGCGTGATGTGTACCCTCCGCCTTTGATTTCGCGCTCTGATAACAAATATATATCAAATGTTAATTATTTATATGTACAGTAATTATAACTACAATAGAAGCTCATTCAATCTGTTATCAATTTCTGTTTTTTTTTTAATATACTTGTGATTTCTGAACAAACTAATTTCTTTCTTTTACATTTCTAGAATACTGCACAACACTTTTTTAAACAACATTTTAGCTTATTTTGACACCTGAGTCATGGCACCTTTATGAAGAATTGGTATTTGTATACTGACCTCCGATCACTCTGCAGCGAAATACCACTGGAAGCAGCCTCAGAGATGATGGCGACATCTTTCTGTCCGTCCATGAAGCGTTGCTTCTCGGTGAGGTTGAGAGTCTCCAGGGGCACGTCTGCCTCCGAGCGACTCTCGTACTGGATCTGGCCCTCCTCCGTCTGTACTACGCGACCTTTGCGGCCTGTCATCTGTAGGTAAAATTGTAAAATTAGTCTATAGAAGTGGTTTATGGGTATTTTGGGTTAGATACATTATTTAGGTCAGTATCTGGATGAAAGAGTTTGGTACAAGTTATTGTGATAGTATGCATATAGTATAAAGTCAAGTCCCGGCCGCACTTGAGCAAAACTGCCATGGGCAAACTGCCACTGCCAACCCATGCAATATTAACAGTTTGACTGCCGACAGAAAACTGTTGAAGGTAAATCCTCCGCTATCGTGGCCCATACCTTGTCCCCCATGGCGTTCAAGGTGTTAAATTTGTTGCGGGACAAGTCTGCAAATGCGGGCGCTCGTTTTGCGATTTACAAAACTATGCAGTAAAAAACAGTCGCGGTTCTATTATTCTATTTTATAATAAGAGGTTTTCTTGCTTTTTCATTTATATAACATACCTACAGTTCGAAACGATAGCTTCAACAAAAGACCAATCGACAGAAGGGACATATTTTGTTTAACTTTTGAAATCCAATAAGGAATCTATTATGAAATAGGGTATTATGTTAGAGCATGCTACATACCTCAGCAACATTCTCAGTGCCTCCCAGTTCGTCCACGAGTTGGTCGAGCGTGTTGGGAGGCAGTCGTCGGCCGAGTCGTTCGATGGCGGCCAGGAGTTCCTCCTTCATACTGCACGCGCGCTCTATTGCGGACCTAGGGGGCGCTGCACTGCGGGATGGACCTACGAACAAATATTATAAGCATATTAAATAATATACAAACTGATGCCTTTGTCCCATATGAGAAATCGATTTATCATTCACAGACGGACAGACTGACTGACTATTTGATTATATGACGTTTCAAAAGTAGCATCAAAGCATTATGGTTATCTTGAAACAAATATTTTGACTTTGACTTGATATGTGCCGTATGTATTGCGTTACAGAATCAACGCAAAACCTCGTATGCGCTTATTTTTTTTTATATATAATATTTATTTATATATAATAGCCATATACCAGCAGCTATAAAACAGATTACAATTTTATAAAATAAAAACATGAACGCACAATTAAATTGACTTTGTAGAAGGAATCTATCTAATGCCACCCCCCGAAAGGACCTATATAACTTCTGATATTACAAATGTCTATGGACGATAAAAAAATGCTAAATAACCATTCTTTAATCTAGTAACTAACCTAGATAGAGTCCATTGGTCCCGACAGGGGTGCCGGTGAGGCTGTGTCCGGCCGGGGTGGTGACGGTGACGGTGGGAGTGGCCGCGCTGTTCTTGCGCTCGAACATTGTCTCTATCTTGTCCTGGGTGGACGACGCCTTCTTCTTTGGTGACGCTGCTTTCTTCTTCTTGACTGGCTTCTTCTTCTGACGGCCCAGCCATGGTTCTGTTGGTAAATGTGTGTGTTAGTAAAATGTAGGGTATAACCTGGGAGTCTTCAAGGCCCGAGTGAATAGGTTGCTTATGGGACGACGTGCTCCATCGTAGACCGCATTATCGCTTACCACCAGGCGAGATAGTGGTCAAACGTCGCCCCATCAAATATAAAATATAAAAAAAATGTTAGTTAAGTAAAGTTTGGTACTGTTTTAGTGAAATTAAGTTTTTAACTCGTTGAGTACCGTCATTATAGACACAATTATAGAACAATAGCTTGCGGTCACCAGTGTCCTCGCGGTGTATGACAGTTTAAACTGATACTAAAGTTAGTTCTCAATAAAAACAAGAACAACAACATGTAGAGAACGAATTCTTAATCATGTTAAGGTGCACATAAGTATAAAATACAATGCCCTCTTTTCACTAGTATAAGTCCTATTTACGCCCATTAAAAAATATGGTCAACAACCAAACATAATAAGTAGGTTCTATACTCTCAACTCACCATCATCACTATCACTGCCACCGTGGAAGGGGTTGAAGTCTGACAGCTCGGAGTCGGAGCCGGGAGGGCGGCGCTCGTCATCCGACTCCATCTCCAGTTCATCATCAGATCCTCGCACGAACTCATCTGAGGAGGAACCTCCGCGCATGCGCTTGGCCGCTGCATTCGCTTGTTGACGCGCTGTGACTGTAAAAAATATTGCATATAAAAATAAACAATGTCTATTTATTTAGTACCTACTATTGAGTTTAAGCGAATCAGTTCTTCACATGTGTAAAAAACATACATAATAAGTAGTTGATGGCAATGAGAACTTTCATAAATTTTGAACACCTAAATGTTGAAATTTTTTATTAATTACGAAATAAATGTATGTTTTTTTACATTCCACACACAAATAATTTTAAGACTGTATTCGAAATAAAACTTGTAAAAATCATATAAATAACCTAACAGCTAAATGACTTGTACTTACGTTTCCTCTTAGAAGTATTGGCCTCATCATCAAGTCCATTCCTCCCGTTCTGTTGTGTGTGCGTGGCCTGGTGTGATGGGGTGGCCTTGGTCCGCGGCGGCTCCAGTCCCAGCAGGCGATTGATGCGGTCGCGGTCCGGAGCTGGGAAGTGTTTTTCCACTAACGTCTGGAATACACCCCTGTGGAGACGGTAAAATCATTAGTAGGTCGTTTTAAAAAATATTTTCTTAAGATTCCAGTAGAACATTTTATCTTCTAAGAATAAATGCCTATAATCCGATCCATTTATGTATTTATTTAATAAAATAAATAAAATGATGACGTCTACAGCTACTAGATATTAACATAATTTATTAAAACAATACTTGCATTATTTTATATTTACATGTAAACTATTAAAAAACACAAGTTCAATAGACAAGAATAAATTTAAAAAATGTAAACAAATAAACGTCAAAATTTGAATTTTCCCGCCGGCGCCAACAGGTAGCTGACGCGCAGTTCCAAATGACAGTTGCGGCCGATGCGGTACGGGTCGGCCACAGTATCCGTTCATTCACCTCGCACCGCCATTAAGCGCTATTTATACGACGGAATATACACGGTCTCAGCGCCCGGCTACACATGCGCTTAACGAAGTCGACTCGGTGTCAGAGCATCGATTTCATAAAGCTTGTGCGTATTTCGACTATGTGCTATGTTGTGATATGTTTGTAAACGAATAAATCGTTCGACGTATTGAAGTGATAAAATATTATTTTTGCGATATAATCATACCTACAATGTTGTTTTAATACTCTGAAGTGAAATTGAAAGAATGTGTTTTAAACAAAAATTAAAAGATTTCCTCAGTGAAATATCAGAAAACGCCGAATTTCCCGTTTTTAATTACGTTTCAAGTGAAAAATATAGTATTCTGGTAAAATGTCATGTGGATACCGACAAAGACGCTCAATTCTACAGCGAGTACGCTTCAGAATGGATAAAAAAGTTTACAAAGTTCACAAAAACTGGTTGGATAGTTCGAGCGTGCTTCCCGCGACTGAAAAGACTATTGTATCGAAAAGTGTTCATGTGCCACCACTCTAGTTTCAACAAGAGTAAAATATCAGAACAGGGGAGCTCCAAGGACAAACAATGTAAGGCGAAGATAGACTTCAAAGTAAAGTTTATAAATCGTAACACGATAAGGAACGATAAAATGTTGAAGGCAGGTTTAAATTTGGCCATTTACATCAATTTTGTTCACACGCATAGTATAAGGGCGAGGGAATCCTACAACTTTTTAAAATGTTCGGCTGACACAGACAAGTTGTTCTTGAAATATTTTGCGGAAGGCCACACTGTAGCTACTGCAAAAAGCTACCATGAACTGATGTTACTATCAAATTATGGAGCCGGCGACATTTCTAATGCTGAAATAAATCCATCATTACGTCACATATCATACGTGTATCACAAAAGGAAATCGCAGGGACTGGAATGCAATATTCCCGATGTAATGGCTGAGAAGATGAAGTCTTTGGAAGAATGTGGAGGAGTAATGAGGTACACAGACGATCATAGCATCACCGTTGTTATTACACCGTTTATGAAAAACGTCATATCAGGACATGAACTTGACAGTATAATTATAGACAGTACCCATACTAGAGAATGTGTAGCATCGTTTTTCTTTGTACCGACCCCTTTGGGCGCGTTACCCATCGCCTGTACATTACACTCACAGATATCGGAGCCCAGTTTCAGTCAAGCTTTCTTTTCTACTAAACTGTTATTAGAAAACCAAACGCTAAAAAGTTTTGAACCACGTAAGATCATGATTAATCAGATTGATGAACAAAATCATGCTCTAGACGCCATTTTTTCTAATACAACCATATTAGTATCGAAGACGTCTTTAGTCGAAGATATATGGAAGACTCTTTGTGCAGAAGAAGTAAAATATGACGTGAAACAACGACAAAAAGTTATGGAGTTATACTATTCATTGCTACATGCAGCGACTTTAGAAAACGCTGAATCATTTTATCAAGAACTTGAGACTAATAAAATAGTACAATCAATAACAAAACTGAAACAATATTTATTCGACATATGGTTAAGAAGAGAAGAATACATAACACCAAACAGAATAATAGATATATCATTACGAACGTTGAAACAGTTCATAGTATACAGATGCAAGTCCTACACCAGCTTAGCCATGATAGATGTGTTGACGAACATTTTAGACAAACATTGGTGTCAAATATTACACGCACATTTGTCGAACAAACTGGTCATGGAAATGTACACAAAATATTTGCCAAAGGATAAGAATTTGATGAAAAATTTGGAAGGAGATAGAAAATTAAAGCGAAAAATTGGTTATTTGGATTTTGGAGCGCAAACGTTATGTTGTGATTGTATAAAAGGGAAGAAAGGAATGCTATGTGAACATCTATGTGCTATATTACACACGGTAACCATATCTACATCACTGCCAGATGAGAAAAGAGCATTTTATACTGCTCTAGCTGGAGACCAAGAAGTCAAAATAGAACTAGTAACAGAACCCCAAGACTACGAAGAACAATACCATCAAAACCACTATGAAGAAACTCAAGGATCTACATCAGACAATGAACAAACTTTCCGAATTAAACAAGAAATAGAACACATAGACCCTTTGGACATAATAATTGAAGACAATAATACGAGACATAATTCTGTAGAAATTGACACAAATATGATAAAAAAGAGTTATGTCAATGGCCTTAGGGCTCTAAATGATGAATTCAGAAGACTAAACAAGTTATTTAGGGATAATCCTAACGCATCTAATTTGGAGACTATGGGTCGTTTAGCTAGGGAATTGGGTAAGATAAGGCCGGTAGAGAAAGTAAATATATCCAATATGTGTATAGAATTAACAGATGCAGTGGAAATGGATTGTGATTAGGTTCTAATTCTGTAATATTATACTAAATACATAGTTCCTAAATTATTGTTTTATTAACATATTTCTGAGGTATAAACCACTAGCCACCAAGCTGGTTTGAATTATTTGACTTTATTTATTTATTTATTAAGAGTTACCAACATTTGATTACACAACTACAGTAAGCATAATACAAGCAAGCAAAGAGGAATAAGCCTATGTGTAACAAACAATTACAGGTAACCACAACATTTACTGGTGCAAATATGTGTATATAAAAAAAAAAGTTCTTAATTACTATCCTTAAATCTAGTTCTAACACACTTGCAGTAAACCTCACAGAAAACCAGAGTGAAATAACACCTATGTTGTGAGTGAGGTTACCAATAACTCAATCCACAAATCTTCTACACATAAGAGGCTGGCAATGCACTTGCAACTCTTTTGACGTTGCGATTGTCAATGAGTGGTGCCGATTATTTATCATCAGGTAATTCATTTGCTCGTTCACCACCCTATCCCATGTATTTTTTCCATGTCCCATGTAACATTAGTCATCGTCAGGCCTCCTAATGCCACTGTACAATATTCCACCCACTTTTTTCTATTTATTTTATAAGTCGCATATAAAAAAGCATATTGCCATATACTGGGCTCAATTCCAGACTCCGTGTTAATACTGAGATTTTTTTTAAAACCCCAGATTGAAAAATCTAGTCTTGGGTTCAATTCCCGGGTCGGGCAAAGCCAATACTTTGACACGTTGCCCGGCAGTCACACTTGCGACCATTCGGCCAACGAGGTAGTCACGTAACCCTCTTAAATAGTATTGTGTACTAACTTGGCGGTGGAGACGAAGTCGGAGAGTTCCCCGTCGTCCCGCTCGAGCTGGTCGAGTGTCCGCGCCTCGCCGGTGGACTGCAGGCCGATGACCACGCACTTGCCACACTTCACCGCCTCGCGCGCCGTCACCACGGCGTGGTTCACCTGCACGAACAGAATACTATACAATAGGCGTGTCGACAGGGTAAAAAAATCAAAAAAGTAATTAGTCCGTCATTAAGATCGCACGAAAATATCAGACACGTATTTTTTGTTTTATCAAATTAACAGAAGAATACGTAGTTATTCCGCATTAAAGTTAGGGAGTGGGGGTTGTTGACGTCACACTTACGGAGAAATCGTACCTAATTGTGACGTCACGCGTCATTTTAACTCAAAATATCTACATGTTTTTTTTGGATACGAGAAAAAAGAAAAAATACGTATCGAAGATATTTAAAATATCTAAAAGACGGACAAAAAATTAAGAAATAGTCGCCATGCCTATTCATCCTGTTTTTAAACTTAGTTCGTAAATAATACCACGACAACAAGTTATTTCGGTATTAAAAATAAAAAGTGTTGCTAATACTAGGATGTCCTTCTGTATCGTTGGTCTTCGCATACACATTACACCCAGAACCGGAACAACAATATATGAATCACACAACGAATTGTTCCGCGCTAGAATCGAAATTATAACACGTTGCGCTGTAGTCGTTTACTTAACCTCTAAGATTATGGTGCTGACAAACCAAAGTTAGTGGAAATGTTCGATTATTTTAATATGCCTAAATAGGCATTAACAAGGTAACAACCAAATATTTACAAAAATAATGACAATCACATCTAAAGTCTCTTGTAAAAAAGTAACTAAATGACCTTCTTACCTTGGCAGCAATACACAAGTACTTGAAGAACCGTTGGTGCGCAGACCAGAACTGTCCCCACATGGTCTTCTTCATGCGAGACTCCGCGTTTATCAGCTCCGCAGCCTCCGTGAAACGCTGCATGGCTTCCACCCACTGGTAAATAAATAAAACGTTAAATAGTTATTATTATTAATTACAATCGGAAGAAGTGACTTATCATTGAGAAGTTATTGAAAACTCTTGAGAACTAAATAAAGTATTACAATTTTACTGCTAATTACTTGACTAGTTTAAGAGCCCAGTAATATCTCGAAACTAGTCGGGTGATACCCGAAACAATATATGCATTATTTTAACACTTTATTTAGATTATTTTAATACATTAGATGCAGTGTCCGACGCTAGCGTAGGATTGGCCTTTAACAGTTTTAGTTTTAGTCAGCAGTGAAAGGCTTAATATATCTCATTTATAGGTTATTATATGGAGTTTGTCTTAAATACTATAACTTATGGTTTTAAGTGGAATAAAGTTTAAATAAATAAATAAACACTCCACTGACCAGTGCCACAGCTTTATCATAGGTCTCCTTGAATGCCTCAGAGAGTGGCACCTCCTCGATCTTGAAGGAGACGCCGTGGAAGGAGAGCTGGCGCGCTATGTACATGCCGCGGAGCTTCATGTCCATCGCTACGATCTCCATGGCTCCCACACCTCTGTGGAAAGGAAATTAGTAATATTTACAAAGACATCACAATTATATTTATCAGAACATTAAGTTTTCAGAACAGAATGAAATACTGCTACTATTACTGACAATTTTAACAACAAAAACATTTATGGTCGATATGGGAATCAAACCCGAAACCTCTTGCTCAGCAATCACATTGACGATCACATGACCAAAAAGAGATTCTAATTAACATCAAAAATAAACAAAACTGAACTCTAAAACGAAACCAATAAGAACTCAATCACGCACCTTTTTTCAACAGCGTTGATGAAATCTGTGAAAGTCGGGAATGGTGTGCCGTCTCCCCAAATGCCAAGTCTGACCATGTAGGCCATATTCCTCGGCTCACTAGCGCCAGTGGCTGAAGCATACACTACTCTTGCCTTGGGTAATCTATTCTGCAGCTCCAATGCTGTTAATCCAGTCTTTGTTGCTTTGCCGGACCCCACCGGGCAAAGATTCTTCGCTTTGTGACACTCGTCGAAAACGATCTAAGAGTTATTCGCTCAGGATTTTATTGTATGGGTAGAAGAAGATATTATGTATTTGGATATATAAATAAACCTAAACAATCTATCTCCAGTTGGAGAGGAGAAGGACAGTAAAAACTTGGCTTCTTGCTTAAATAAAGATAATAAAAGGCTAACAACGCATTTATAATCAGTCTAGTGTTGCGGATGTCCATTAGCGGCGCTTATTGCTTACCATCAGATGGCCTATCTGTTTACCAAAATTACATGAAGAAAAGCTAGCTTGACCGTCTCTCTGTCTCTCTATACCGAACAAAAAACATCATTAATCTACAAAGAATACCCTATCTGCAAACAATAAATTTATCTTTTGTAAAAAGGATACAACTCCATCGTAATCGTCTCCGCACCACTGCAGTAATTGTTTGAGTCGCGTCCTGTACTTGGTGCTCGTGGATTGTGTTTCTCCAATCAACGCTGAGTATGTGCTGAAGATCACGCCCTTCTTCACGTTGCCGTTGACAGCCGATGAGATTTTTGCGTATTTAAACTGTGAGGTAAGGAAACAGATTGTTAGAAAAAGTTTTGTGTTGTTAGTAATAAATTATATAGAGTAAGATATAGAGAAAGATCACACAAACCGAGACCATGACAAATTGTTCAAAGATGGCGGCCGAAGGACAAGGGTGGCCCACAAACTTAAGGTTAAGTATCTAACCCAGACATGTCTCAAACATAAAACTGCGTCCTCTAAAAATGCAATGCTGGGTCCTTAAATTGTATGTTAAAAGACCTATATTATAAAAATGCAGCGCCATCTTTCTTATGGCTCTCGAATTTGTTACAACAGATGTAACACAACAATGAATACACTAAAACTATAGATATAAGATACAAAATTGAATGAACAAACAGTACCTTATTAAGAGGATGGACCTCAATCTTCCCAGCGCCGATGTCCCTGAGATCTCGTTCAGCGTCGTACTTCAAGTCGTTGGAGACTGACACCCAGATAGCTCGCTTGCGGCCCTTTATGTAGTTTTCGAATATTATACCCGCTATTGTACGGCCTTTACCCACACCAGCACCATCGCCTGTAATGGGAAATAAAGTTAGTAGGGAAATACAGAAGATAATGACAGACTAGCTGAATAAGTTTAATTAAAAATGTATGAGAAATCATCACATACATGATTATAAGGATTTTTTAATGGGAGAAAATCTTCTCTTGCCTTGGTGAGGCAGGAGGGAGTGTCAGACTCTTACTGAATAAAAATCACCCCATTCCTACTCCTGCACTATGAGCCGAAGCCCCGGTAACCTTTTACGTTCTCTACGGCTCCTTATCAGCATCAGCCCAATATCACCCATCACGATTGGGGCCTATTGGGCCCCATTGATTATAAGAATTGTAAGCGATTTCAGTACGTAGAGATAACGACATCCTATTGTGTGGATTTCATAATTATGTTAATTACTTTTGAGGTGTCATTTATTGGGGTTTAAGAAAATTTGACAAAAAATTTTTCCACAAAACGTAACTAGCTTCGGAACAAACTTAGAAGGTAACCTAAAATAAAACTTACCAATGAGGAAACCAGCCCTTGTTCCATCAGGCAGTAGATGCTCATGGGCCTGTGACGCATATACCACAGCTTCCAACTGCAGAGCAGACAGTAGACCGTTGCGGATGGTCTCGTCAGGCAGACTCAGTTTGTACGTCACGTCAACCGGCTCTACTGAGGAGAGAGACGCCGTCTCCACCACCGGATCAGGGTGCTTGCGACCTAGTTTTACTGTGGGTAAAAGAAAGGTGTTCAGTTCGCACTCTTTAACGAGATAACTAAAATGCTACTGTATTGTTTGCCACAAAAACAAAGGAGGCTTTTCACACATAACACCCGAGTCAACAATATTATGTGGATTATACAAACGGTTGTCATAAGGGGTTTTAAGCAAGAAGTCAGTTATAGATACCAAACTATTAATGAACTCTGTAATCTATATATATAAAAGAAAGTCGTGTTAGTTACACTATTTATAACTCAAGAACAGCTACATCGATTTGGATGAAAATTGGTGAGGATGTAGCTTAGAACCAGGAGACGAACATAGGATACTTTTTACCCAATACTTTTTTTTTACTTTTAACCGAAAATCAAGAACGGCTACGGGAAATATCGGGA